TAATTCATTTATCCCCGGTTATTTATTTACAGCATATTAGATGGTGATTTTACTGCTAAACACTAAGGTCAAAACACTGGGCTTGTATTCTGGTAGGAGAGCTTAAAGGGTCACATAATTTGAAGTTAGAGAGGATTATGTGACATAGACCCTCAAAGCATAGCCACACATTAAGCTAGCCCCAGCAAATGAGGCAGGGATGTTGCTGAGAGAATAAAAGTGAGCAATGGCAGCAAAATTAGGGACCAAAAATATATATTTTTTCTGACTATGTTTAAAAATCAGAATTCTGATGTCATTATAAAAATAGGCTTTTTCAGAAATGAGGGTCCCTAATTTCTAATTACTCTCTAATAGTAACCAATGAGTTTAAGGAGATACCTGGTTCTTTCTTGTCTCTAATGTTTTTCTGCACTGCTTCTTCAGTGGCTAATAGCCAGAAAAGGTGAAAAAATAAAATGAAAATGACAGAGTCATTGATTTATTTAGTCAACAAATTCCAAGTTACTGAATTGTTTCCAGGTCAGGCTTCCAGTCATGGTTTAAAATGTTTTTCTGGCTAAAGTCTATTAAAAGCCACAATATCAGCCATCACCTTTATTTTTTAATTTATTTATTTATGTTGTGTTGTTGAGAACATTTTTAAAATAGATCACATTACTTACAAACAGTGAAAAACACCCATTTTAAGCATATAGTTCTAAGTTTTGGCAAATGTATACAGCCGTGTAACCAACACAACAATCAAAATATAGAACATTTTCATCACTCTAAAGTAATTCTCTGGGCCTGGCATGGTGGCTCACACCTGTAATCCTAGCAGTTTGGGAGGCCAAGGAGGATTGCTTGAGCCCTGGAGTTAAAGATCACCCTGGCACTAGAAATACCCCATCTCTATAAAAATTTTAAAAAATTGGCTGAGCGTGCTGGTGCATGCCTGCAGTCCCTGCCACTGGGGAGGGTGAGTGAGGCAGGAAGATCACTTGAGCCCAAGAATTCAAGGCTACCATGAGCTATGATGATTCCACTGCATTCTAGCCAGGATGACAAAGCAAGACCCAAATAAATAAAATTAGAGATGAAAAAGAACACATTACAACTAATACTTCAGAAATCCAAAGGATCATTAGGGACTACTATGAGCAACTATATGCCAATTAATTGAAAAACCCATTAATAGAAGAAATGTATAAATTCCTAGGCACATATAACTTACCAAAACTGAACCAGGAAGAAATCTAAAACCTGAATAAAGCAGTAAGAAGTAATGAGATAGAAACAGTAATAAAAAGTCTCCCATCAAAAAAAAGCCCAGGACCCAATGGCTTCACTGCCAAATTCTACCAGCATTCAAAGAAGAACTAATATCAATCCTACTTAAACTATTCCAAAAATTTGAGGAGGAAGGGATACACCCAAACTCATTCTCCAAGGCCTGTATCACTCTGTTACCAAAACCAGACAAAGAACAAAAAAAACTATAATCCAATATCTCTGATGAACATAGATGTAAAAATCCTCAAAAAATACTAGCAAACTGAATTCAACAACACATTAAAAAGTTTATTCACCATGATCAAGTGAGATTCATCCTAGGGATGCAAGGATGTTTCAACATAGGCAAATCAATCAATGTGATACATCCTAGAAACAGAATGCAAGACAAAAGCCATATGATCATGTCAATTGATGCTAAAAAAGCACTCAACAAAATTCACATCACAGCATGATAAAAATTCTCAGAAAACTAGATATTGAAGGAATTTACCTCAACATGATAAAAAGCCATATATGGCAGACCCACAGTTAATATCATACTGAATGAAGAAAATGGAAAGCCTTTACTCTAAGATCTGGAACAAAGCTAGGATCCTCTCTCTCACCACTTTTATTCAACATAGTACTGGAAGTTCTAGCTAGTGCAGACAAAAGAAAGAAGTAAAGGGCATTCAAATTGGAAAGGAAGACTTCAAATTATCCTTGTTTGCAGATGATAGGATCTTATATCTAGAGAAACCTAAAAGCTCCACCCCAAAACTATTAGAACTGATAAACAAATTCAATAAAGTTGCAGGATACCAAATCAACACACAAAAATCAGTAATATTTCTGTCTGCCAACAGTAAACAATCTGAAAAAAGAACCAAGAAAGTAATCCCATTTACAGTAGCTACAAATGAAATAAAATACCTAGGAATAAAGTTAACCAAAGAAGTGAAAGACCTCTATAATGAAAACCATAAAACATTTATGAAAGAAATTGAAGAGGACACACACAAAAAAATGGAAAGATAGTTCATACTTGTGGATTGAAAGAATAAATATGGTTAAAATGCCCATCTGACCCAAAGTAATTTACAGATTCAATGCAATCGCCATCAAAATACCAATGACACTATTCACAGAAATGGAAAAAATAATCCTAAAATTTATATGGAACCACAGAAGACCTAGAATAGTCAAAACATTTGAGTATAAAGAATAAAACTGGAGAAATAACATCACCTAACGTCAAGTTATACTACAGAGCTGTAGTAACCAAAACAGCATAATACTGGCATAACAATAGACATATAGACCCAGGGAAGAGAATAGAAAACCCAGAAATAAACCACAGATCTATGATGAACTTACCTTCAACAAAGTCACCATGAACATACAGTGGAAAAAGGACAGTCTCTTCAGGAAATGGTGCTAGGAAAACTGGATATCCATATTCAAAAGAATGAAACTATACCCTATCACTTGCCATATACAAAAATCAAATCAAAATGGATAAAAGACTTAGATCTAAGACCTGAAACTATAAAACTAATAAAATAAAACATTGGAGAAATGCTTTAGGACATTGGTCTGGGCAAAGACTTCTTGAGTAATACCCCCAAAGCATAGGCAATCAAAGCAAATTTAGACAAATGGAATCATATCAAGCTCAAAACCTTCTGCACAGCAAAGTAAACTATCAACAAAGTAAAGAGACACCCCAGAGAATGGGAGAAAATATTTGCAAATTACCCATCTGACAAGGGATTAATAACATATAGACCAAAGGAACAGCATAGAGAACCCAGAAATAAATTCACACATCTATAGAATATATAAGGAGCCCCAGCAACTCAATAGCAAAAAATCAAGTAATACAATTAAAAAATGGGCAAGGGATCTAAATAGACATTTCTGAAAAGAAAACAGACAAATGGCCAAAAAGTATATTAAAAAATGTTCATCATCATCATCAAAAACATCACTAGTCAATCAGAGAAATGCAAATCAAAACTAAAATGAGATATCATCTCACCCCAGTTAGAATGTCTTTTATCAAAAAGACAGGCAATAACAGATCCTGGTGAGGATGTGGAGAAAAGGGAACCTTTGTACACTGCTGTTGGGAATGTAAATTAGTGCAACCACTATGGAAAACAGTATTCATGTTTCTCAAAAACTAAAAATAGAACTACCATATGCTCTAGCAATTCCACTGCTTTGTGTATATCCAAAAGAAGGGAATTCCACATAACGAAAAGATATCTGCACTGCCATGTTTATTGTAGCACTATTCACAATATCCAAGATATGAAATCAACCTAAGTGTCAGAGGAATTGATATTAAAATTGTGGTACATATACACAATTAAATATTATAAAGCCACAGAAAATAATGAAATCTTCTATTTGCAACAACAAGGATGGAACTAAAGAATATTATGTTAAGTGAAATAAGCCAAGTGCAGAAAGACAAATCTCTCATGCTTTCACTTATATGTGAGAGATAACTATTAAAAATGTCTCATGGAGACAGAGTTTAGAATGATGGTTACTAGAGGCTGGGAAGAGTAACAAAGAGAGGAAGGTAAAGTGGAGACAGTTTATAGGTGCAAAAATATGTTAGAAAGTCAGATAGAAAGAAAACAATATTTGATAGCACAAACAAAGTAACTATAATCAATAATAAGTTAGGGTATACTTTAAAATAACTAAAAGAGTAGAATTAAAATATACCTAACACAAAGAAATGCTAAATGCCTGAAGTAATGGATATTCCAGTTTCCCTGATTTGATCAATTCACACTATATGCATGTATCAAAACATCACAGGTACCCTGTAAAGATATACAATTATTATGTGACCATAATAATGAAAATTAAAAATTAAAAAATACTATAAACCATACTCAATATCACTTATTCTATTAAATCTTATGCGTCATGTACCACTTTCACACCACAAAAATGATAAAACTGCTCCAGCTGTACAGAAACCCCATGTATTTTACATACATACAATTAAATATATAATCAATAATATATATGATTGTATATTGAACAAATGAGTGAATTTGTTAATTTTTATTTATCAACTTTATTCAATATCTGGATTGTTTGAAGCATTATATTATCGATATACATTCACAAGAGAGCAGTTTTGAAAACTAGTCCTAAGAGGCTTTTCTTTCATTAAAAATAACATAATACATTATATGGCAGCAAAACTCTTCCACCATCTCTTCATTTTCTATCCAATATCTGCCACCTTACTCATCAACCTGACAGCTGAAATGATGCTTACAGTCTCCAGCTATTTCTCATAATGCTCTGACACCTTTAAAATGTTTTAAAGACTAAACTTTATTATAAATGTCTTTCTTCTCTGAGTCAAAAAACAAAGTTAAACTCAACAACTCTATAACAAAATATAGAAACGGCTCAACTGAATGTGAGAGCCAACCAGGGAGCAAAACAGGCACAGTCTGAATAATATGTTACTTGGTGAAATAGAAATGGATGATAAACTGAATGGAAAAAAATATACAAGCAAAGATGGAATACAGCCAGAGAGCTAGTAAATGGAAGGTTGTAATTAAGCAGGCACCTAGTGGATTAGAGGAAATTAGACTGCAGCCGCTGTGTTTCTGCTGCCAGCACAGAGCGCTTTTTAACTCAAAATAGTCAACAGCCTACCAAGAGAACTCTAATTATATATTCTTAATTTTATTTCACAGGGTGTGATTGCAGACAAGATAGAATCAACAAAAATCGAGAGAACTGCCTACTATCAATGATATTAAGTTGGATAAGTATATCTATGCAGAAAAACTTCTCAGACTTTAACTTAAAAGTCGGATTGTGTATTTATTTTAATTCCAGTCATGCAGCATTCAGTCAAGCCTCCCAGATAGAAATCAAAAGGTAAATATGTGAGGAATTTCATTGCCAGTATCCTGCACGAGAGACATCTGGCATCGTAATCCTAAAATAACATATATGGAGAGCAAATGCCTTGAGCTGAATAAATAAATTGAAAGCATCTCAAGCTAGAGCATTTACATTTTGAATTCACTCAGTTTCTTTAAGAACTTTGATTGAGGGCCAGCTTTCAGGGAAATATAAAATACAAAGGAAGTTTTCAGAGGACATTTCTATTGGCTCCCTTTTCCTTTTATGTATTGTCTCCTTCACACCAACCCTGCCAACCACCAATGTGTCTATAACTCCCCTTCAGTTACCTCCTCACCAGGGGCCCTCCTAACCTGGTTCCCCACAGTATTCCTGCAATGGCCCCATGTTACAAGTCTTTGTGTCAAAAGCAATCTGACAGCTTAAATTCCAATCACACTAAGTCATGTCTTTATGTTCTACTGGTTCTAAAGAACAGCTACTTATATCAAGTGGTATTACAACTGCAGATTGGTTGGTAAAGGATAATTATGGTCTTCAGGAGACTGGAGAAAAATAGTTCTAGGAACTAATGCCTTATCTGATGTAATATCTATGTACCAAGTCTCAGATCATGACCACATATCTGGTCAACCCTTTCTTTTTCATTTCCTTCCCCAGATTATGGTATAGATCTTTCTGCCTCCTTTTCCACTGTTACCACCAGTCATAACACCAACTGCTGTAGACTGGTCATTCTGATTTAACACTCTTTAGAAATAGGGTAAGCCAGTCTTTCTCCATCAAATGGCCCCTTGCCTACTGAGACTGTCGTGAAGACTGCAGCCAAATACAAGTATTCAGTGAATAACTCAGCCTTTCAACAAATCTTTCACAATTAGGAGAGTAAAGAGGTTTGCAAAGAAATACAATTGAGATGCAAAACTATCCAACATGAAAAAAAAATCATTAAGAATCACCATCTCCAGTGGTGACAAGTGTTCAGAGTTGTGACTTGGTGAAACCTGGACATCGTTGGGTGCGGGCTATGGAATGAACATTGTCCAAAAACAAAAACAGAAAAGAAAAAGAAAAGTCTTTTCCTTGGGTGATAAAAGCACTTTGATTATAATTCATTCACCCAAGTTGCTATTGAACACTTAAAATTATATAATTTTAGGTTTGGAAGGCACATCAGGGATGAATTAGCTAAATACCTTTATGTAAAATATGAAATTGGCCAGGTATGGTGGCTCATGCCTGTAATCCTAGTACTCTGGGAAGCCAAGGTGGATGGATCACTTGAGCTCAGGAGTTCGAGACCAGCCTGAGCAAGAGCGAGACCCTGTCTCTCCTAAAAATAGAAAAATTAGCCAGGCATGGTGGCATGCACCTGTAGTTCCAGCTACTCGGGAAACTGAGGCAGGAGGATCACCTGAATTCAGAGTTGGAGGTTACAGTGAGCTATGATGATGCCACTGTACTGTAGCCGGGGTGACAGAGAGAGACCCTGTCTAAAATAATTAATTAATTAAATTTAATATGATGAAACGGAATCCTTGAGAAATAACACAATTTATATAGGATACAAGTTAATACAATGTATATAGGATACAAGTTAAAGCCAGAAGATTCAAACCCCTGTCTTCCAGTTTCAACACAGCATCTTTCCTTCACAGTAATGAAAATTTAGGGTTTTGTTCATGTTGGTCAAATCAGGGCAATGAAAATGATTTATTGGAGACATTTTCTTCATCCAAAAGTAAAATATTTTTATTAAGACTATAAAGAATAAAGGTATATTCTGTAAAACAGATTGTTAATGGAGGGTATTTCTGAGGAGTTAGATGACGGGGATATTTCACTTTCTATGTTGCAGATATAACCAGAACATTCCAAAGTCATGCAGCCTTCCAGAGTTATCTATATTAATATCTTAATAAAATTAACTCAAGCCTCCATTCCATGAAACTGGATCAGGTATGTCCCTATTTCTAAGCCTTCCCAAGATGCCAAACAGCAGGGCACGCAGAAGGGACACTTGGACTTGCCAGGATATATTGTATCCCTGTTTCTTGTTCAATTTTCAATTCCTCAGTTAAAACCAATGCTGCCACAGGCTGCTGTAGTTCTCCATGTGCCATTTTATCCCCAAATCTTTATTTAGTTTGTACTATATGCCTAGCAGTAGGATAGAAACTCTATAAAAAAAAAAAAGAATTAACTGATTTAATCCTGACAATACAATAACTCTACAGATTAAGTAGATTTTATCCCATTTTGGAACCAATGTAAAGGAAACACTGAGAGGCTGACAGTTCTATGTTGGAGTCAGGATTTGAACCAAGGTATGAGTTTGGCTGCAAGGGCTGTGTTTTTAAATATATCTACTGCCTTTATTTCATTTCTCAAGGTACAACTAACATGACACTATTGTGTAAATCTTTTACCAAATCCATGGTATACTGGAAGATAGCTACTGCAAAAAACAACATAAAGATTAAAAATGGAATGATAGCCAGCATCTCACTCACTTTCCTTTCCTTGTTCCCCCATTTCTCACACTGTTGCTCCCCTTTAGGGCTGTGCTTTCCTCTCTTCCCTTGAATCTTTAAGGGCCAACCCAACATCCTCCCCTTTCAAGAGTGTTTAAAAGACAAAGGACAACTCAAATTTCCTGTTATTGTTTTGAATAAAGAATATCTAGTTATTTTTTGTAACCTCTATACAGTGGCCTTAGCTTTGATCTTCTTAATCAAAGGACCTACTATTCTGAGTTCATTCTTAAAAAAATTCATCTATCTCTGATTAATTCCACTTTTTCCTCTAAAATGAGGATGTGAATATAGTTAGATTTTGACTTTTTTCTTCCCATTGCATGTATTTTTACAAAAAGACCATGTTATTTTTTGAAATTAGAAGAAATTATTCTAAAATTATAAATTGATTTATAATTAGTTAATTTTCAAAGTGCCAATATAAAAATCAAAAAAAAACTTTTCTAGGCACTAAAATGTAATAATACCATGAAGTATTTGAGGACTCAAATAGAAGTTCCTTTCTACTTTTGTTTGTACTGAATATAAATGAAGGATTCCACTATAAATTTATGTGAAATCATATCTGTTAGGTGGTAAGATATTAGGATGGCAAAGAGGAATCAAAAAATGCTACCTATATTATTTTTATGTAATGATTAGAAAATGTTTATTGATAATCTATTATGTAATCATTTGGAGTATGATTATTTAAAATGTTTTCCACTTCTTAAATTTTAACTCAAAATTGGATGAAAACTATAGACAAGGAAAAACACATATACAAAAAGAATTTTGTACAAATAATAGGAAATTGACCATAATGGGAAGTGACCCAAAGGGAATCCATCAATCTCTAGGTTTAAATAATAAAATGCTATGTTAAAATTATGTTTTGTATAGTTTGTTAATCCTATTTTTACTAATGTTAAAGGGTAAACTTAGGCGCATTAAAATCTTAAAGAGTTTATTTGAGCAAACAGCGACTCATGCCTCCAGCAGCACTGGACCATAAGCGGTTGGGCTCCACAGAACAAGAAACTTTTACAAGCTGTTTGCCATGGAAGCAAGACAAAGAAAATATTTTTGATTGGTCTAAGTGGAAATTCCCTAGTTAGAGGTTGGTTTGATGGTTTCTAGTTGCTAAGCTTAAGTTTCCTTTTACTGTTCATGTTGAGTTGGGCTTCAGTTTGCTTATATAAGGAACCCAAGGTGCTAGAACTGTCTCAGCCTAATGGCTTCTCAATTTTTTTTTCAAATAATAGTGAATATCTTTTTTTTAAATTTAAGATATAGAGTTGACCCTTGAACGGCACAGGTTTGAACTGCACTGGTCCACTTATAAGCTGATGTTTTTCAACCAAATGAGATATTCGAGTGATGTAAGACCCACACATACAAAAGGCCGACTTTTCTTACCCTTGGTTCCACAGGGCTGACCACAGGACTTGAGTGTGGGTGGATTTTGGTATATGCGGGGGTCCTTCAACCAATTCACCAAGTATACCGAGGGACTACTCTATTACCACATTTAATCAAATATAAGTCACTTTCAATTGTAAGACGCATCATTATTTTATGTTTCATGAAGAAAAAAATCATCCAATTTTAATTGTAGGAGACCACTACTTGTAAGACGCCTCCAGGTTTCAGAGACGTTAAAAATGTGAAAAGTGCATCTTGCAGTCAATTAATTATGGTATTTCTCTTCATTTTAGACATGAGAAATTGTTCTAATCTTACATAAATGAGCATACAAAATATTAGGTTTTAGAGTCCCTGCCATTTCCATTATTTTCCAGGAACTAAATTCATTTTCCTTAAGAAATTCATACATTTGTACCTAATTTTATTATAGGCCTATTATTTCCAAAAGATTATTTTAACATGTCTGATCTTATCTGCAAACTTCCAACCTCCTTCTTACTTAAAATGATATCTCAAGACCTCAGCCTACCTACTCTAAAAATGAAGCAGAGGTCAAGCAGCCTGCAATTTCTAGAATCCCTGATACTCACTCTCCAATCTAAAGAAGACACTGAATCTGACCTTCTGATACATTTCCATTTTTTTTTTTTTTTTTTTTAGTCTAGAACTCATTTGTGTCCCAGACCATTCGTACCTATTGTGATGTTTTGGTTCTAGAAGATAATTGAAATTGGCCACGTATAGTGGCTCATGCCTGTAATCCTAGTACTCTGGGAAGCCAAGGTGGATGGATCACTTGAGCTCAGGAGTTCGGACCAGCCTGAGCAAGAGCGAGACCTGTCTCTCCTAAAAATAGAAAAATTAGCCAGGCATGGTGGCATGCGCCTGTAGTTCCAGCTACTCGGAAACTGAGGCAGGAGGATCACCTGAATTCAGAGTTGGAGGTTACAGTGAGCTATGATGATGCCACTGTACTATAGCCGGGTGACAGAGAGAGACCCTGTCTAAAATAATTATTATTAAATTTAATATGATGAAACGGAATCTTGAGAAATAACACAATTTATATAGGATACAAGTTAATACAATGTATATAGATACAAGTTAAAGCAGAAGATTCAAACCCTGTCTTCCAGTTTCAACACAGCATCTTTCCTTCACAGTAATGAAATTTAGGGTTTTGTTCATGTTGGTCAAATCAGGCAATGAAAATGATTATTGGAGACATTTTCTTCATCCAAAAGTAAAATATTTTATTAAGACTATAAAGAATAAAGGTATATTCTGTAAAACAGATTGTTAATGGAGGGTATTCTGAGGAGTTAGATGACGGGGATATTTCACTTTCTATGTTGCAGATATAACCAGAACATTCCAAGGTCATGCAGCCTTCCAGAGTTATCTATATTAATATCTTAATAAAATTAACTCAAACCTCCATTCCATGAAACTGGATCAGGTATGTCCTATTTCTAAGCCTTCCCAAGATGCCAAACAGCAGGCGCACGCAGAAGGACACTTGGACTTGCCAGGATATATTGTATCCCTGTTTCTTGTTCAACTTTCAATTCCTCAGTTAAAACCAATGCTGCACAGGCTGCTGTAGTTCTCCATGTGCCATTTATCCCCAAATCTTTATTTAGTTGTATATATGCCTAGCAGTAGGATAAAACTCTATTAAAAAAAAAGAATAACTGATTTAATCCTGACAATACAATAACTCTACAGATTAAGTAGATTTTATCCATTTTGGAACAATGTAAAGGAAACACTGAGAGGCTGACAGTTCTATGTTGGAACAGGATTTGAACCAAGGTATGAGTTTGGCTGCAAGGCTGTGTTTTTAAATATATCTACTGCCTTTATTTCATTTCTCAAGTACAACTACCATGAACTATTGTGTAAATCTTTTACCAATCCATGGTATAGGCGGCGCTGTGGCCACGCCTGTAATCTAGCTCTTGGGAGCGACGGGCGATTGTCAGGGTCAGAGTTCAAACCAGCTGAGCAGAGCGAGACCGTCTCTACTATAAAAGAAGAAATTATGCCAACTGATATATATACATAAAAAAAATTAGCGGGCATGGTGGCGCATGCTGTAGTCCAGCTACTCGGGAGGCTGGGCAGAAGGATCACTCAGCCCAGGAGTTTGAGGTTGCTGTGAGCTAGCTGACGCACGGCACTCACTCTAGCCTGGACAACAAGCGGATCTGTCTCAAAAAAAAAAAAAAAAAAAAAAAATCATGGTATCTGGAAGATAGCTACTGCAAAAACAACATAAAGATTAAAAATGGAATGATAGCCAGCATCTCACTCACTTCCTTTCTTGTTCCCATTTCTCACACTGTTGCTCCCCTTTAGGGCTGTGCTTTCCTCTCTTCCCTTGAATCTTTAGGGCCAACCAACATCCTCCCCTTTCAAGAGTGTTTAAAAGACAAAGACAACTCAAATTTCCTGTTATTGTTTTGAATAAGAATATCTAGTTATTTTTGTAACCTCTATACAGTGGCCTTAGCTTTGATCTTCTTAATCAAAGGACCTACTATTCTGAGTTCATTCTTAAAAAATTCATCTATCTCTGATTAATTCCACTTTTTCCTCTAAAATGAGGATGTGAATATAGTTAGATTTTGACTTTTTTCTTCCCATTGCATGTATTTTACAAAAAGACCATGTTTTTTTTGAAATTAGAAGAATTATTCTAAAATTATAAATTGATTTATAATTAGTTAATTTTCAAAGTGCAATATAAAAATCAAAAAAAACTTTTCTAGGCACTAAAATGTAATAATACCATGAAGTATTTGAGGACTCAAATAGAAGTTCCTTTCTACTTTTGTTTGTACTGAATATAAATGAAGGATTCCACTATAAATTTATGTGAAATTCATCTGTTAAGTGGTAAGATATTAGGATGGCAAAGAGGAATCAAAAATGCTACCTATATTATTTTTATGTAATGATTAGAAATGTTTATTGATAATCTATTATGTAATCTTTGGAGTATGA